TCAACCAGAGCCAAGTGTATTTCTCCAATTATATTCATTGAGTTTGTTCAAATATACGGTATTTACGGAAGGACCACCGGTTTTTGCCGGGTCTAATCTGCGAGATAGGCCATCTGCATTTTCATGGTTAGTCTCCTTCCCCCACTGTACTGTGAAATTGTACTGCGGCAGCTCTTCAACCCAACGTGTCAACTAACAGTCAATCTCCTCTCTTTTTTCAACCGGTTCAGAGCCTAATCAGCCGTCCTCGCCTCCAGATATTGTCTGAAATGCCTAACCATTATAATGATAGCGATGAGCTCACACTGTGTGACGCTTTCCTTCAGCCTTTGTTTGCTAAGTTTGGTACTCGCGTAGGCGGTGACATGTTCCTGACGATCTTTGACCTTTGGTTAGAGTTCACCACTTATGGCTGTGTCACTAGCGTCCTTTCCCAGTGAGAATGGTGGAGCATTTAAATCAAAGTTTGATAATGACGCATTCAGTGCGAAGCTGATCTTTTGCTTCAGCTGAATGAAAACTTCATTGTACTCTTTCCCCATTTGCATTACTTTTCCGTCAAGTTATGCAGCGGGCCTGCAATCTTAGCGAAACTTCATCAAAACGTCTCCGGTAACCTTACAGGCTTAGAATACTACGTAGTTCCGTCTGATTAGTTGGTATTGTCAGGTCCCCACTTGCTTTATGCGGTCTTTGGTGTGTCCAAAAAGCAGACCGAGGTGTACGAAAATTGGCCATAGTTAATACTGCGTTTCGCAGATGACCCAACACCAAACTCAGATTGGTGTTATGCACCTGAATATCGCTGCCGAAAGCAGGAATGTCACCCAGGTTTGTTATACAATGCTTCGAGAATACCCCGATTAGTATGAGCTACGGTTGTTGGAAAGTGGCAGCTGCATTACGGAATTTAAAAGGCATTGCCTGAAAATTACAAAGCTCTTTTACTAGTGTGAAAGCAGTCATCTCCCTCCCTGTTTCTTCCATTTCCACATGTCAGTATTGTGATTTTTAGCCTGGGGTGAAGAGCCACTTTGATTCGTCTGCCAAATCGTTTACATGGGGCATTGGGTGGGGGAGGGGCGGTGACAAGGATTTAACGACTGTCTCTCCTGGTTAATAGGTGGTTTTTAAAACAGTACCTAGGTGGCAATCGCGGATGCAGAAAACTTACCGACTGGAATGCCGAGGACAACGTTCAACTGTGCCAGATGATGTGGCAGCGCTTACCACTTTCCACAACTACTGGTCTCCTTGATTTCCGCAGTCAATATTCCCACCCGACAACATGATCAGCAAGGCTCTTTATGTTAATATTTTAGCCTCATACAGTGGAAAAGCCTATCCAAATCTCCTCTCTAGGCCTCACGTCACGTCATGTCGTGTCATGCAATATTATTCCAGTTCCGAGTACGGACTTCTGAGTTCCCACTCTTCCAGATCAAGCTAAGTTCAAACTGGCATTTATTTCGGCATAAGCTGTAAGGCTTGTGCGTGAGGTTCGACCTTCCAGACTTCTTTAAACAGCCGATTGAAACGCTATGCTGTGCCCTAGCCCTAATTTTCAGGTTTTCTTTTAGAAAAATTTTTGCTTTACCTTTGAGCATTCTACAGAAGTTGAAATTAGGGTTTAATAACCCATCTGCTCTAAGTCTTCGCTGATTCTGCCATTTAGGCAGATGCCTTACATCCTTGCCATTTCGGCATATGGCTTAACTAGGCAAAAGTAAGACTAAATGCATTAACAGTCTAGAAAAGGCAGCATCTTAGCAGCTATACATTTGTACTTATTATCCGAATCTTTATCGTCCACCTTACAAAAATCCCACCGCTAAAGATAGCCGACTTCTGACCAATTAGAATGCCCGTCTTATCATCGTTGTGCTTTCACCTTTAGCTAGTGACAAGGAGTTGGATATTAACGATGAAGCTTTGTAGTGATTCGGCGGTGAGAGAATAGCAGCAACTTGAAGGTTCCCTCTTTCTGCTCTCGCAAAAGCAACGGAATTGTGGCCTTGCTACCCGTCTTTTTTCGCAAACCAATGGAGGAATGGGAAGAATGAACAAGTCAGAAAGACATATGCCAGCACCACTTGCATTTAAGGATAAATAAATAATTGTCAACAAGCCACATAAATTTAAACAAGGTCTTATTTTAAAGTAATTTTTCATGATTTGTGCCTGAGATACCTTTCTGACTAAACAATAAATGCAATTTTCTCCTGACGGTTGCTACTTGGCTGCCCTGCCTTGCCGATCAACCGAGACATGGTAATGTGGTAAGCCATTGCCTTTTCTATTTGGTTGGAAGGCCCGACGACAGAGACGACATACAATGGGGTTGGATGGTAATGATGTTGGTGACTATGGTAAGGGTTAATGGGACGGAGGCATAGTTCATGGATAAATAATGCCGTTTAATGATAACAACGCGCAAGATTGGCTTCATTTCCTTGTTCGATGCGTGATGGAATTGCAATGTTGGCGCTACGGGCTTTAAGGGGGAAGAGCATTTCTTCCAACCCTAGCTATTTTTCAATTTCAGAAGTTAGACGAGAAGTCCTTCAACTAATCATTGTGGGTCTATGCTACCCAGTCCATTCTTTGGCACTGTTTGCTAATGATACGGAGAGAAACTGCCTTCTTTATGGTTTAAAAGACAACTCTCAGCAGTTAGGCAGCCTTCCTTCATTGCAGATATAGAGGGAATGTGAATCAAGATATTTACGATCTCCTGACACAGATGGGACCGCAACACCATCAGACAACACTTTCGCCTATAGATCTGGCAATATTAGTTGTTGACATCTGTCTGTCGATTCCATATGAGTTAGAAAGTCACATGTGCTAGTCGAAGTTTGGATACCTGGAAGTATTGCGAGATTTCTTTATAATTGCAGCAGCTGCGTTCAAATAAAAAGGATAATCTCTTTTGCAACCTTGTTAGGAAGACTGAGAGGTGGCGAAAGAAATAGAGGATTTAGCAGTGAAGACACGATTAAAGTTTAATTTCACTGGTGGCCAATCTGGCAAAGGGTAAGTCCTTGAAATATAAAGCAAGGGTAAAGTGCAACAACCGACCCTAGACCATCCGGATCGCCTTAGCACGGGCGTTGTTAAAGATCACTTCTAATTGGATGTTGACTGAAGAAGTCACCATTCGCTAGCGACTAGGTCGGTTGCTCTGTCCCTTTATTCATAGCTCTAAAAAGGATCATCTCCCATTGCTAAAGCACTCATATTTGATGACCGTTTCTTGCCAAAGGATGATTTACTGCTCTAATGTCAGACTAACAAGAAAAGATGTAGTTAATGATAGTGGCAACATTCAATCATTTTCCTCCCATCCTCTAATGCATTAAATTACAAATAATTGCTTGCATAAAACATTGAGCAATTCCCGCTCTTAAATGTGATTGAAGTGAACCCAACCATCACTTAGTTGATAGGGATGTGATTTGCAGTGGAGCCTAATGCCCCAAGCTGCTGCAACACAGCAAAAATCAAATCGCAGGAACGCGTCTTCTTCGGCATCCTTATAGTGCACGCCAGTTTACAAAGCACCTAGTCGCTTGTAAACTCGGCACGTCTGCGACTTTTGATGAGCACGCAGGGGCCAGCGTTAGGTTGGGAATTAGCCTCTCAACTTCATCCCCATGGGCGTAATTTGATTTGTAAGCACGAAAAACTCATTGTCTTAAGAGATACCTCCTTTCCGAGTCCTGAGCTCTGTTAAATCCGAAAGTTAACATTATTCTCGGCGGCGGTGATGGCTTTGCTACATTCCTGATAGTTTCTTCCTCGTTTTAGAGATATCTAGGCTCCTATAAATTACAGAATAATCTAAAAAGGCACGTTGATAAAGAATGACAGCATTATGGAACGTAAACAAATGATTGTATCTGGGATTTGGTCTACAAGCTTCTGGTGGGGGAACTGCCATAACGCTGGTTCCTTTGTTCTTCTTTCAGTAATTCGGCACCCTCAAACATGTGACTTTATTACAAGTGCCTTAGGAACCGAAATTACCCTACAAATCTCGCGAAATGATTTAGATTCGAGCTACACAAATGTAGAGAATCGAAAGGTCATTGAAATAGCATTTGTAGACCATACCAGAATACATGGTCCATATTACAGGGTGGCTTTCGCAACTTTGCCTCTGGTTGAGGAGTTGCAAATTCTTTAGATTGGTGCCAAAATAACCCCTTGTCATCTACACCCAAGAATGTCAATGAATCATTAACATCAACTCACTCACACAGTGAGGTGGTGGGCTTTGGGTTCAGTGGATCTCTCTTGATCGTGAAATCATATTTGTGATACCCTTCATTCTACTTTTCAGGGATGAATTCCTCACTGAACATTCGCTGGTGTATTGTCTATTAGAGTAATTGTGTAAAAAATATTTGAGAAAAGTACGACCTATTATGTCTGATGGGAATACTTGGGAGAACAGATGGAGGCTAAAATATTCGAGATGCCGAATAGGTGAGTAGTACCTTAGCAACTGAGCATGTGGTTCTAATCTCCAATGTTTTTTTGTAATTTTCAGGTGTATTTTATTGCGAGTACATTATTTTATCTCATCAATGATGTTTAAACAGTCATTGAGAATGGAAGAGGTCCTTGATTGGCCTCAACCTTGAAATATTTGTTCATCATCTCGTCGCATTTAAGCTTAGCTGATTCTTAATGAGAGATGGTTCATGCCATTTTTTTGTAGTAAGGATAAACCCGAAGCAGGATAAATAATGACAATAGTAGTTGTTTAATTTTCCTATCCAAATACACGAACCCTCCCATCAAATTGGCTTGTAATTCCACCCTTGCTCACTTCTACATTACTTATGAATTCTCTTCCATATTCGTATACCTTATCGCAACTTCAGGCAACCTCGAAGAGTTGCAATGCTGCCTTGACATTGGCAGAATATTTGCCTACATAAAAGGATAAAGATTTTTCGCTCGCTTGCCTTTTGCTTGTTATGCAATTTTGGATGAATAACCAGTTTCAACAACTCCTGAAGAGGGAACCAATAAAGATGAGGAAGGCTTCAGTAGAAGCGGTGGCGCTTCGAAACCTCATTAGGCAAATTAATTTTACAAGAGCAAAGGCCTGCTCAATCGTGGCTGTAAATATTGCGGCCTCCGCGCAGTTCGGGACATCACATTACCTGGTAAGTTGACTTGAATTGAAAATATTGTGGGGGGATTCTCCACCCTCCAAGAGTATGATAAATATGAGCTCTATGAGGGACCACCAAAATTCAAAAACACATCCGAACCATTGGCTGTTGATATTTGTTAAAATTTTAACAATGGATCAAAGTATATGCCCTAGAACCAAGGAACGTAGATAAAAAATCTATGGATAAGAAAAAGTATTGTTGGCGAAATTATTGTGATTTCATAGTTTCGAGGAGAAGAAATCGAAGGCACACAGGCCAGTGGCGATCAGTAGGACTAAAGTGTGAAGAGCTGTTGGGGGAGCCATCGTGGACTTTCCTTAGAGAAATATCCAAAATCATTCCCAAAAGTAGTGATTAAATTTCAAATGTTGCAACTTTTTCTTAAAGTGGCCTATTTACTTTAAAACTGCCAATGTTTAGTTGAAATTTAGAGGTCTAGTGATATTTGGCCATTATATTGGGTCCCACCGATTTAATCATAAAGGAGGTGAAATGATGCCGCATAACATAAGTACATTTTAATTTCTGAGTTTCATACAACACCTTAAACTTTATTTAGGAAAGAAAGCACTTATAGCCAGTGGGGTCAAATTAAGCTTTTCTTGCGAAATGGATTTCAAAATATTTGTGCACAAAGATAGATTTCGTTTTCAAAATCCATCTAAGACCATTTTATTAAAAATTTGATTTCCTAAAAATTGAGTTCTATGTTGTCTTTAATCTTTTTGAAAAGTATTTAAACCACATCATCTTAGTTTAACTATACTAATTCCCAGCATTAATTGCCTTATTGCATTTTCGAATTTAGGGGCTGATGTTTAAAAATCGGGACGATGTTGCGTGTGTCGCTTATATGCTGTGTAGTGTTAGGAGGAATCTATATTTATTGCAGTATTCAACAGAACAATGAATGTTTAATGACCTACACATACGAGCACACCTACATGAAGGTTTGTTTACTCTGTCTATAAAGTCGCAGCCGATTCCGTTGAAAGGTAAAGCTTTGGAATCCTGTCAAAGATACAAACTTGGTGTATATAGGGAGAGGTAACTCTGAATACTTTTTTGATTTGCTCGTGCAGCGAATATACCTATTCGCCAACGGGTTCAGAAGGGTAAATTTTCTACTTTTCCTAAAAATCCGTTTTCTAGGACCATTCCTGTCCTTTTTATTCCTGGCAGTCAGGGCCATGCTAGGCAAGTGCGGTCTCTAGCCACAGTTGCCTTTGAAACGCAACTTATGTATTCTTTAAACTACACATTTGAGTTCTTCGCACTTGATTTCTTCCAGGTACTTTACCGTTTTGATAATGTGGCCCCTAGGATACATCGGCACTGTCCTCTGAAGTAGTGGAACGCCAAGCGGGTATTGTACAAAGGTCTTCTTAATTCTCCTTCATTAGATTGTGTCGTCGATGTCATTCCTTTTGTATACAGCCTTTTCGCTAAAGCGCCCACCCCCGTAACGATCGTTGGTCATTCCATGGTAAGTTGTCATTCTTTGCAATTTAGTAAACCTCTACCTGCCTAGTCAAAAACGTAGGGGAAATGCGGTTTGCTTATGAATGGCAAGCCTCTTTTCATGATCATGGTAATCTTTCTTCTTTAGGGTGGTGTCATTGGCCACTACGCCCTAGCTCAAGCAAAATTTGATCCGTTGATAGTGAATTCGGTGATTACTTTGGCGTCACCACTCAGATCTCCAGGTAAGTAAATATTATGTGACCGTTTCTCCTTGCTTTATTTTAGTCGTTTCATTGAGTATTCGTTTGTTGAGGATGTATGACCGTATTCACGAATTCTGGCGCACTGTACCTCTGGACTCTAATTACGACCATCTTACTTTTCTTTCAATTACCGGAGGTATTTCCGATCATCAAGTGAGCAATGTCACGTATTTGCCAGCTTAGGATTCAGCTAAGTTCACTCCTCTTTTCTTGTTTAATTATTCTTTGATTTTTTCTTTAGGTGTGGGATGGTTTGGGAAAAACAGCCCTACCGGTGGACCGTGCACTTCACCTTTCCAGTCCTTCAGTCAATCAAGTCTGGCTGTCCTGTGATCATCTTTCCATCCTATGGTGTGTTTTCTCGGGTCGTATCACTTCAGTATACTTGCTATGAGCCTTTGCAAGTGCCAGTTTTTAAGCTCTAGAGTCTGCAGTACTGAGCTTGCATGAACAAATGTGGTAGAGGTACTAGACTTTTGTCCTTATTCATGTCGATCACCCTTCGAATGAGTAGGTAGTATTGCTCCAAGACGTTTACCACGAACGCAACTTCATAGCTTGGATATGTACCGTCTACATATACGTTAGATCTCCTCTGGCCACTTTGACCACAAGTAAATAGTGTTACTGAAAGACGCCACTCGGCGGGTTAGTTTTGGGTAGATCCGTAAATAGTCACGAATGGTCCTATTTTTTATGCAGCAATTCGACTTTTCTCGTGCAGCATTCAAAAGGGTATTTCTTCATACTAGAACCCTAATGAAAGTATTAATATTGCTTTTAATGTAGGCTGGTTGAATGGTGAAACGTGATTTAAAACACACGCACCCGCACACGTACTTGATTTGTTACCATTATCAAGTGTACCATCCAGTCACGTGTTAATGAGAGTCTAAAGTTTAGAAAACCTGTAAATTGGGGCTCTTCCAGTTTGAGTAAAGCACACGGTTTCCTATTTATTCGTTTCTCCTTTTCAGGTGCAGGCAGCTTGTCTTTCGCATTAACGATGCATTATTCGCTAGTGTCAACACCACGACACGAATGGTAATTGTGCTCCTCTTATGCTTGTTTATGCGTAACTGCGCACACTCAAGTGCAGGGCCGTCTTTTGCAGGTATTAGACGGTCATGCAATCTCTACATCTCTTAGTGTAGATTGTCTGAGATGTTGATAACACTTCCTTTCCTTTTTGCCAGCTCTTAATCGAGTGGAACCGGGACTTGGTAATTGGGGACAGCTTGATTATCAGTGACTTTGATAGATTCGCAGGCCCACGCTACTCAAGAATACTGACAAACGTGTGACGGGTGCCGAGTATATTTGTGTCGTTAGGTATGGACTCACCATCTTCCCAAGGCCGCACCAAGTTTGCGGATTTTCTATAACTCGGCAGCGTTAGTACCTCCGATGTCGGGCTCTTAGTTACTGCGACTACCAGTCATCATTGTTTATTTTTCAAAATGGTGTCCACGCTTGTGTTTGTAGCTTTTATCGGTCGCCAGTAACTATCAGTGCGGTGTATTTATCGGTTAATAGTATTGTGTGCATTGCCACCATAGAATCCTTCAGTTTTCAAGTGGTAAGATCAAATACCCTGGTTTGCTTCTGACTCTTCTCCGCTTTCACATCGTTTCGGTTCGGTTATGAAATGATGCAGCTTAAAACATCGCGGAATTTGGCATTAGTTTCAATGAGGTGTTTCCATGGGAAGCTGTGATTTAACTCAGAAATGTGTCAACTGCATAACCTCAGCTGAGATCTTGAAGGTCACTTGGTGACCGCATTGCCTCCGCAAAACACGCCACAATTAGCAGCAGTCTATGACTTAACTAGATACTAATGCGTTAGTGTTGAAGAAATAATCAAATAGGGTGCAGAGGCTGGGATAGATTTTACAGCATGAATCAAGTAGGTTAACGAACGTCGGTAAGAAAGTGGTCCAATCCTTGGTTTTATTTTCCACAACTGTCAGTGAGAAAAATGCCATTCGAGGTCATTCCATCTCGCCCTAAATAGGCAACCGCTGAAGCTGCCAGTGGGTGTTTACAACGCCAATATTGATACATATGGTTCGACTAACCGACGCAAAACGGATCCTCCATGCTTTGTGCCTCAGTCTCGCAGTACATTAAGTCCAGGTTGCAACAGTGAACCTATTGCTTTACTGTCAGTAGTCGCGTGCTTCTCAGGGTAACGATCCTTACTGCCAGTGTTTTAATCATCCTAGCCACTGACAAGTCGGGCCAAACGGATGGATGTGCTGCAAAAAATCTTCCTCTCCCACCCAGTTCCTCTTAAACCTCCTCTGCCGGGTAAATTTGGTCAGTCACCAGCTGTCATCAATCCACGCTGTGCCTGGTTCAATCGGGCTGGTGATCCAAATGGAGTCTACACAGCTGCTAAGGTTTTTCTTTCAACCTAATTTTATATCCAACCTCTAGGGTTATTTTCCTTTGTGGCTTGAATTGGCTCAAGATAACGCGGCATTTTCCATTTTCAATTTACTTCTTACCGATTCCCGTTATTTTCACGTTCTTCCCTTAAATTTGAACCTTCTTAAGTGATAAAGTCATCCGCTCAAAATTAGGAGAACCAATCACAGTTCGCCTCTTCAAACCCTTTTACCTGCCTGCATACAGATCATTTGTTATCTTCTTTCCACTTGATCAACCGCATTGTCACGGCCATTTGTACACTTCTTCACGGCATGAATGACCTTGATTTAACTATCGACTGGCGCAGTCCTGTTGCGTGTCTCGTTTCGTCTCCGTGTGGCATTGTCAGGCACTTCCTCTTTTTTTGCCCCTAGCGGCGTGATGCGCTCGAGGTTACACAATGCCTCCAAACTGTGTTCAGACAAAGTTTAAAGTGCTCTTTTTTATTTAAAAGGTTTGGTGCCAGGTGACTACTCTCATTCTATCAATAATGAGAGGAGGCACCGACAAAAGTTCACTTGGACCCATTTCACCGTTCATCTACTTCCAGGCTGTCAGATGAAGGAGATTTTGGTGGGCAAACAAGAGCATGAATTGGGAATTTTTAGATTTTATAATCTTCTTTGCATCCATTTTTGTCCTTGTGGTTAAATTTACTTCTGTGGTGTTTGCTCCTTGGCGAGGCTAATATTTATCGTCCGTATTCTTCTCGCCTGACATGGCAATGTCAGTCATCTCACAAGTAGCATAAGTTGTGGTTTCCCTTCTCGCATTAACAACGAGTGGGTGGTTATTGCGGTAGCAGCTGCAATCCTTATGTTTCCCTTCTTTATGTTCGCGACTTGACCATCTCTACTGGGCGTGCTACGAAGTTAGTGCCCAAGTGTCATTTCTGGGCTATCAAGGAGAAGAAAGGTGGACGAAATGAAAGCCCAGTAAAACAGCTAATTAGTCTTAGCAGCAGAGAAGGAATTTTTTGACTTGCGTCACTAATTTGTGATTCGACTGTTCCTGCTTTGAGTGAAATGGGCTTCGGTATGACTCAACAGTCATCATTGTTGCAACTACCTACTGATTACCCTTCTCATTGTTGGGGGATAAAACCGTTCAAATTCCATTCCCAATGTAAATAAACGATCTAGGAATGGTCTGGACACCAAAGGGACAAAAATTAAACCGCATGATGCTGTTGTCTCTCACATGGCCTCTATTTGCCTCACTCCCTTCTTTCACTCGACATTCAGGTCGGTCAGGTGTTCCGGTTGTGGTGATCACGTTTAAGTCGTGGAGTGGTTTTGACAACTTTTCATTACTGCCACCTTTTTTTTTTCTTGCTTAAAAAAAGCTAAGATGTAGCTTTGATATTTCTTTCCTTTGCTTTCACTTCGATGGTGTCGGGTGGTGACCGTTGATATCCTTCCTCTATTGGATTGTGACTGGACAGCACTGGAAATGCTAATTGAATTTCACCAAAGTGTCCAATAATTTTCGGGAATAAATAAATGGACTTTCTCAATTTCAGAAATGTTGGTATCAAATGAATGCTTTGTAATCCATACAGGGAGCGGCGTAAGTGATGGTTTGTATTCTTGACTTTACTAACAAGCACTAACAATGGTATTTCTCACTGTTATAATAGTTGAAATTTGCGTCGATGTTATTTTTCCTGACTGCACGCTTAGAGACTTTGATACCGCTGAATTCCTCGAAGGATTGCTAATGACTCGTCAATGCTGACAGGTGCTTGGTGGTGGGTAACTAGAACCTTCAGTTTTTTTCTCTCCTGAGGGTAGAAGAATTGTATACCAATTTTTGTGTCGTATTTTTTTTACTCCATATTGCATTTTATGCGCACAGTTTGCTTCCTCGTTTAACGCCTCCAGATGATACTTTTAGTTGTCATAGTTATCTCCTAAATTGGTGGAGAGGTTAAGTTGTGTAATCAGTACCACCCAGCATAAATACGAAAGAGTGAACTGAGGCTGATAGGTTTCTGCATCTTAATAAATTTTAAATGGAGTTTAGTTGCATTCGCCTTGGCAACACAGAGAAAGCGAGTAAATTCGCCACCTCAAATAAGTCCAGCACATACTCATGAATTAGACTGACAACTTACCTGCTGTCATAACTCAACGCTGGAGTGGCATAAAGCAGGTGTGCTGGAAGGCTCCCATTCTTTGCCATCAATTTGTAGAGAATCGGATACGTGGGAAATTCTGCTAAAGTTCAATTTTTATTCTCAAGTGTTGATGCTTCATAAAAAAAAAGGATATCCAGAACTCGCATAGCTTACTGATAATTCACACCCCAACCCAAGCTTACTGCTGCAGAATTTATAGCCATGACTGGTGCAAACCATCCACTCCTTTCTGCCAAGGTCGTATAAGGCAGGGCGATTGGCAGGTTGGCTGTCAGCCCATTTGTTTTATTGCTCTTGTCTAACACCAAATGTCGATCACTTCTTCACCAACTCACCTCATAAACTAAGATACTCATGTTGTTACTCAGTTCGGAATCATTCTACATCTGCATTTTTGTTGCAAAGTGAACCAATTTGTCTCCAACACGTATCAGTCCAACCAGATACCATCATAGATTGGCAAAGGAGTCATGTCCCTCACGCTCGTGGGTGACGTGTCAAGTGAAGTCCGAAAATTCACATCCACGCTGATTCTTTTAATATAGATTAACATTGGCAGGCCAAAAAGCAAGCGCATAAATTGTTTTGTTGACGTTATTCTTGTAGGCATAGTAGCAGTGAGCGATTCAGGTGAAAACACCAAAAGTGGGTACCTTTGTTTGGATGTGATATGACCTTCTTATTTCGTTTTAGTACTCATTCAAGACAACTAAACTAACTTCTTTAAGATTGATGGACCCGTATTCTGTCGGATTTCGTTTGCTTTCACTTCTCCAGGCACTCATGTATGATGTCCTGATTTCCACAATTCAGCTAGGCGTCACAAATGTGTGACATGTATTCTTGTGTATCAAACAGATTACGTGGGCTTAAGGGGATAAAGGAGTAAGGAATGTTTTGACCTGAGAATAATCGCATTTTGGATCATGAGCACCTTGACTTGTAGGAACTGGGCTGTGGTGGTCGCTTTTGCTCGAACACCTTGGTACCAGACGTTTTAATGTTTATTTTTTGGGACATGCACACACACACACATGACTTGACTAAGTGAACTAGTCGTTACACTGTCATATCGCAAGGCAATTATAGAAGAATCGTTTTGTTGTCATTACACATGGGGCAATTCAACTCAGCATATCGACATTTGACTGACAGAGACGTGGCCTTTACAGTAATGAGGGATTGACTTAACCTGTGCTAACCTCAAGAATCATCTGCACACATCTTAAGCAACATTGACTTTATTAAGGCCAACAACTACTGCCGTTGGTGAAATCGACATTTTTGAGAATTCTAAGGGGCGTATTATTTCTAGAGCCTACTTTGACAACAATGTGAGAAGATGAAAAAGGGTTTGAAGCCTCAGACAATTGAGAAAACCCACTGCTTGCGGATCAGATCAATTTAAGCATTTCTGTTGAATTCGTGACCCACCTGTATGGTGTGGAGGAGGACTCCTTTTTGTTGAATGGCTCAAATGAAAGAAAAGTCCGATTAAACAATTTGGTGTTATCACCAACCCAGTTTTTCGGTGTGCTGGAGATATCTTTGGGTTGCGTAATTAGAATTTAGGTCCTGCAATTCACAGAGTTGCCGAAGAAGAGGATTTGCTGCCCCTAAATACCATATAATTACTGGTACGAAAGGCGCTTGGTAAAGCTGTCTGTAAATACATTTTTTCAAAAATTTCCTAGGAGTTTTAAGTTAGGCACTAACTCCCATTTCGTTCCCATGGTAAGACGTAAAGGTTGAATGAATTCGAAATTTTGAAGTAGCTCAATAGCCTTATCGTAGCCCCCAGTCCAGTTGATGAAAACAAAGAAAACGGCTAAAAATACTTGCTAACAGAAGTAGACTTTCTTTTCTCCTTTTGTTGGCAATTCGCAAATCAAATGGTCTGCATTAAATTTGCTGTTCACTGATGTGTCAGAGGAGGTTGACTTCATCAGTGTGCCCGATCACGCCGTGCCGGAATCCTTCCTTTCAACTTTCAAGAGCTTGTACTTTGCCGCATAAAAGCATTTGACCAATTTAGCATTGTCGGTCCTTCGTTTTGTTGTGATGTGCTGCAAAACTCATTCAAATCTGATTAAAAAGGAATTTTGCTTGAACCAAATTGAAGAATTGACCTCACGTGTATTGCTGTACGGCGTCCCTTTTTCTGCCTCTAAACCGAGCCAAAAGTCTTCGTACTGAGGATGGTTTAGGTCCGGATACCCGCGTTTTCAAGTAGTTGTCGATGCCAGTTTCACTTTCCCTTCTTACATTTCTCCTGCTTAGGGCACCTGCACCTACTTCAAAATCGGGCCGTTGACAGGAGAGGCCGCCGAAAGAGTGCTCCTTCTTCCTACTAATGTAAGCTATCTTGTGACGTAGTCTTTTTTGTCCCGCTTTGTTCTCCAGCGTACACTTCTTTCTTTCCTTTGTTTGTAGCTCAATGTGAAAACCATCTACCTATGTGACAAGTCGGTCAATTCTGTCCCATGGTAGGTGCCTGCCTCATTGCTCAATCATCCACCTCATTATCATAGACTATTTAGGCATTAGTGATGGTTATTAATAACTGGACAAATACGTATGATTTAGGTTTGAGAATGCAGCCTTGAAGTCTAATAGGACTTTTAGAAGACCAACTTACCAGCCTTACTCTTCTTCCATTCATTGTATGCCCATTCCCTTAGTGCTGCTGGCCAAGTTTGGACTATTAAGACGAATTTAACATCTCGTCGTAGTCCACTTCCCTTTTTCAATTCTTCTGCTAATTTGGCATTGTCTTGACGTCCATCTGGGTTATCTTTACCTTGGTAATGATTGGGCCTTTGGCATTTTTCCCTGAGGCACTTTTCTTTTATGCATAAGTCAGTGATGCATCCCATTGTTGGTGATAATTCACAAATTTTCGCCATATTGCTGTTCTTAAACGGGATAAAGCACTACCTTCCGGTCTTCTGCCATCTAAGTCTATTTCTTCCGCTCCGGAATCCGATTCATGACAATGAAGTAGAGCCAAGAGTTGAAAGTTTTCATTTCCGTTCCAATCTCCCCTCCTTGTCTTACTGCTTTGAATCTCTTCGTTCGTCTGAAATTTGGCGATATTGCGAAGGAATGATTATACAGTCGAACAGCAGGACGAGACGAGATTGAGTTGCCCACTGTATACAGAGTGCCTCCTAGAATCTCGGTAGGCAGATGAAATAGCTAATTAGCCCTGCCATCTGTTTCTTCAGCGGTTTCAACTCTGCGAATAAACTTTTAGTCGGTAGATTAATGCTGGTTTTACCACCTCTGAAGAGTTGGCCCTCTTTCCACCCCGAATTGTCAATGTGATGGTCTTTTCACTTTCACCTGAATTAATTGCGGATTGATTTTACCAGACTCTGTGTACTCCCGTGACCCTTTGACCCGCTCGACCAGTGAGGCAGTTTACTCTTGTCTTGCGATTTTTTTTGCAGTTATAATGTAAATCCCTTTCTTTTTTCCCGCAAATTCCCTTGAATGAATGTGTAGAGGTCTTCCTGTTCCCCCTCAATAGCAGCTGTAGTGATGATTATGGTGAAGGTGAATAGGCTCAGAGTCGAGGCTGCGGCGCTGCAATGCTAGGGGCAATATTAATAATCATGATTTTAATCACTCCGAGTCCGAACGCCTCGAAACCGCAGTTGCTGTTGCTCCACCTCTGATTCAGATGCATTCAATTCATCAGCCACCATCAGGGATCGTTGACATCATACTGGTTAATAGCTGTCAAGAAAAATTGTGGAAAAAAGAGGAAATTTGTCCCCTACGACTCAGCCATTTTAGCCCTCTAGCATGTTACCGACAGTCTCCAATTTGACTCCTCTCTCCAGCTATATTTTCATTCATTTTAAGCAAGCATGTCACATATGTGTGACATTCAGACTCAAGCCAAATCGGGACATCAGATTTTCATAATGCTGGTGTAGTGAGTCTGCCAGTAACCTCTTGACAATCTTTTAATAATGGGAAATTTGCACCCCAATTTTAAATAACCAGCATTAGCAAGAGCCCGATTTCATTCTAGAATACTCTACTATCCAATTTACTAACAAAGTTGACCAAAGCTCTGTTTCTGTATTGCTGTGTTATATTAGGTGAGAGATTACCATCTAACTGAAGTAGACTTCACCAAAATGGTCTCAAATGTCTAAAAGTCTGCATAATTAGGCAAAATAGGTAATTGAGGACTCAACCTGACGCTCCCTTTATCCTCTTCTCCCTTTCCTCTTTTAGTCCTACTCTCTACGAGTTGCCGGAGGAGTCAGTGCAATGGATTATGGTCCCAGGAAACGCTAAAAATACCGGCAAAGCACGAAGTCTCTTCGTTGTTGGATTCAACAAGGACAATCTCACCCAATGTCCCATTGACGTTGCTGGCGCTTCTCTGGTCGTCCATCTCACCCATCAAACCAAGGTGTGTCTGCTCTGTCGAATTTTTGAGTTAAGAACTTTAAAACGTCTCCCTTTTAGTCAGGCTACTCTGCGATTCGATAGTTCGCGAACGTCCAAAATTTTACTGTAATGATTTTACTATCTTTAAAAGGAGAATTCTTTTTATGTTGATGGATCAACTACGAGGAAGGTTATGGATAGAGTGGTGGAATCACTGCCAGCTTACAAAAAAACCTGAGCAATCACTGAATGGCAGATATTTTGCGAGTAGAACTTCCGTCAGTAGTCTCATTTACAGCGTCATTTGCTCGGTAATGGCCTGTCTTTTCTAACTAACCTCGCAGACAATGTGGTACCCGTTTAAGAAGCTATAAGGAGCTTTACTTCAGACGCAGGGAGGAACTGAGCGACTAGTGGTGGAGCATTCCCAAGGTTACATCGTGAGAGGCTGAAAGCCCTGCGTAAACAAATTCATTGCTAAAAATATCATTTTACTGCTTAGCTTTCTCTATCCTTCGATAGCCATGAATTTGTCTTTCCGTACTGTTTCACTAAGTCATACTTGGTTGGAACGCACACACAGTGTTTTGAATAACTGAAACATTCTTAATTTTGAAGGAGAGGGTTAAAATGTTAACCTGAATGCGCTTGTTGTGTTACTTTTACCTAAGGATTGAATGATAAAGCCTCAAGTAAACTCTTTCAGTCGGGAGCCCTTTTCCGTTTCCCCCATTTCATAATTTTACTTCCTTTCACCGTGACTCGGACAATCGCCTGTCGCGAGGTATCGTTCAAGCAAAGGGCATTCGAATGCCAAAGGTGTTTTAGCAGCCGAGGTACTAGTACCTGCTGATAAGTAAACGGGTTTTATGCAGGCGTTTGACCTTTTAAGTTCAATCCTTAGTACGGTTTTGTTGTCACAAAAATTGTGTTGGCACTGACCGAAAAGCCACACATCCGATGCCAGTCAATCATTGCCCTTGCGGTGCCATTGTTTACCCTGTTGGCTCCTTGGTTTCACTTTGAACCTCTAATGCAATGCATTCAAATGTGATTTCACCTACTTATGAACCACCCTTGGAGGGGTGATGATGAGAAAACCCGTTATTAATATGCAATAATATGCGCTGAGCGAATGACATTTTATTTGGGCCTTGTGCCTATCAACTCCTTTTTTAATGTCTTTGTACTGATCAAACAACTATATAGTTGAATGGCCTTCAGAAAAAAAAAATAGGCTGAAGTCGAATGCTCATTTATTGTTGAAGTCGCTACAACGCATGCAACTCAGAAAGTATCAGAATTACCAACTTACCGGCGGGCTACGAAATCATTGCATGGTGATCGAATGGGTTCGTGAGAAGTTTTCCTGCAGTAAAAGCTTTCCAAAGTAGTTTTATTTATTGAGACAATCACTATTTTAATCCATCATCCCTTCCCGAGGGGTCACAAGCTTACTGCGAATGTCACCTTTATTGAGTTTTTTGCCTTCAGAGGCCAGACAGCCATGCCATAGCCGCCTCCCCTCCTGTCTCTTCCATTTCTTAACCATCTGTTGAGCATGCAGTTATCCAAGACCAAAGCAATATAAACTTGGGGAAATGTCATTACCGACCACGGAGGTTGAGGTAGTACCTACCTCCCAACCCAAATACTGTTTGAGGTCTTGTGTGTCGAGAGTAGGACTTTCTCACACTGATTGACGAATCTCTTCTGGTCAATCTTCGAATCGTGTCGCAACTGTTTGGTCTTTATCAGGTAGACAACGCCAACTGCGGTCTACCGTACACTCACACGAAGCAGGAATAGTCTCTAGCAGACGAAATGGTGCGTGCCTTTGATGTGTGGAGTGGGCAGGGGAATAGTGGGTCGTTCGGGTACGACCGATAATGGGCTTATTGCAATAAGAAAGCCACCTCTTATCAAAAGTCAGCAGGCAAACAATCTAAGATCAGTGCAATGGTAGAACATGAAAGATGTAAGGGACAAATTGATGGGCTCTAAGTTTGCTGCCTTTCACCTGTTGCTGCATGTGGGTTGAGTTCATTTACCCAGATCCCACTACGGTGTTCCGTTCCTGGTTGTTGTGGGTGTGAACTATTTGCTCAATTATACGCCACATTATTAAGATTTGCACATTCTAAGGAGAGTAGAACACAACAATTTCTTCACAGCAGGACTTCACAATCGCCGGCATGGGGAATTATTTGTGACTCTTGACAATAACACTTCGGAGTTAACGAGTTACAAACAACAATCAGTAGAGGAATGAGACCTCCTTCCCAAACATGGATGTAACTGGTTTTATTTCTGCATAGGGTTCACTCATGTTTGACCTGATTAACAACGTGGATGCTCGACAATTGGAGTGGACTGGAGTCGGCAGTAGAAGTGCTATATATCTACCTCGAAATCATAGTCGTGCAACCTTCTTTCGAATGCCACTCCCATTCGATAATTTCCACTTTGGTCCTGCTCTACCACCTCCTTCCATACAGGTCGATGCTGGCTCATGTCCCCCCGAATCCAGTAAGTCCTTACCGATTGATTCTTGAATCACTTTCATGACTTGCATCTTTGAATAGTCGATGTCAGCAATTTCCTGATTGGATAAATACTGGCCCCAATGTCTCACCTTTTGCAACTTTTGCCTTAGACCTTGTCGGTCTGCTCATCTCTTCTCTACCCTGGGATCACCAAGTCTATCACCATCGATTCGAGTAGGTAATCAAGGTTTCTACTTTAAAAAAATAAGTACCCATGTTATATCTTTTTTGTCAGCCCCAGGATTTCGGCGGCATTTGACCTACAGACTGTCAGCCCTCTTCCAGAGCACTACGAAAATTTGACAACACCCTTCGTGGATGTAATAATTGACCCGCGTTGTGACAATACCAGGATTTACTTCTCATATTCGTACTCTTACTGGGTATTCCAGGTAAATTCAAAATTAGCTTCTAAGGAAAAGCAATTTTACCCAGTTTATTTTTCGCACTGTCGTAGTGCTGATGGAGGTGCTCTGGAGCGGTCTCGCGATTGGCTTGTATTTATTAGGCATAGTGCATACGATTGAGGAGGTAACTGTACACCTCGGTACGTGCAAAGTTGCCGAAATTCCCGGCACCTCTGTATTTGTCGATCACTCATAGCATCCACTCTCTCGGTGTTGGGCCTACAAAACTTGTAATGAGTGGTTCTAAATGCCTCGAAAAGGGACCGTTTTTAGTTTTGACTTCTACACAAGTACTTTATGCTCCACATCTTTCAGTTAACACGCTGCTGTTTTCTGCAGCATTTTAGATATTCTATTCTCAACTTTTTGTTCCACCAGTAACCTCACAGTGGTATCCAAGTAGCCAATCACAGAATCGAGCATAAAAATTGTTAAATGTTCAGTAAAATGGAAGTGGGTGAATACTTTCGGTCTAAATCTGTCGGTTGTCAGAGGTCCACCCTTGCCAACTTTCCCACCTCTCGAGCTCCCTCACCAAGGTGATGATGGGTTTTCTTTCATGCTAAAGATCTCCAGCTATTTTATTTAAGTCATGCCAATATGGTCCTGCTAGCGCTGACTTTTGGTAAATCGTTGTGCTGCATCACTGTATGAAAGGCTAATTTATCTCAAAATTCCACTTCCTGATCTGCAGACACCAGGTGGTTGTCGTCAACTCAAGAATAAAATCTACTTACCGGATGCATTTTCGTAAGGAGACCTTTTAGTCGTTCTTCCAGATAAAACACAATGCTTTTCAGCATGCTTCTTAGTCCCTTCAAAATTGCTTTTGCCAATTGATCTGAACCACTCTTCCTCGTCACAGTGCCTGCTTGAATGTACGTCACACCTTTTTTTGGCATGACAATTAAGGGTGAATGAGAGTGTTTTCATAGTCACAATCCTCTAGTCCTCAGTTATAAATCTCTCTCCTGGATAGTAGATTTTATGCTCCCTGTTTTGGTTCTTTCCTCTCTGCAATCAATTTTCGGCCAGTTTACTCACAGATTTGTAGTATGTGAAATGGAATTGAAGACAAATCTGGAAGCAGCCCTTTTGGTCGGTCTGTGACATGCGAGGAGCTTCGTGCCGCCAACGTAGAGACCGAATCCCGGGGGACTGAATGGCCTGTCGACTGGCTAAGTCTTCTCCAGATCCCATTAATAGCAGTAAAAACGAGACAAAATGCATTTTTAAAATTTACCCTTTCATATGGATCAGTTCCAGGATTTTTTGATTGCTGTAAATGAACCCACATCAGCTACGATTGTGAAAAATCTGAAATTTGCAGGTAGATTTGTTTACATTGTTTTGAGGGAAGGTCTGTTGTCGGAGTCAATTCTTAGTTATTCGACCCACCCAACTAACACTAACCAATCAACTCACTTGTTTCAATACAGATCGTCCGGGTGCACCTGTTCCACACCCCTTCGCTAATCACGGGTCACGCCCTACTTTCCATCTTCCTTCTCCTCGCCTCACATACTGTGCATTTTCAGGCCCCCTCCTGCAAGAGAAGCAGCAACTTTGCATTCTCTAGCCCTCTGCTGTCCGCTGGTAAGGTGATTCCATACGTCCCTGCGTCGTTTTTTTGGGGCTTAGCAGATGTTCTCAAGAGTAGAGGCAGCTGTCTGAATCCCAGCACTCAAGCTGTCCATGCGGACGTAAAGCATGTGACTAACGGAGCAGAGAAGATTTGGACGATTAGTAGCGGGGCTCCATGCCACCAATATGGAAATCAAATTGCGGAAGATAGAAAAAGAAATTTGCGCAAATTCATCGAAGATTACGGCAAATGTCAGCCTACTTCGTCTTGCTTTAAATTCTATTCTCAGCTTCGACATTCATGGGTATTCTAGCGAATTTTAGGCAGTCGTGAGCCAGAAATACAGATGATGAGGTGGATGAGCCTTTGCTAGGCAATTGTATTGAATAGAAATATTAATAGGTAAAATGGTTTTAAAAGCCAAGCAGTTTCCGTCTAAGGTTTGCTCTTCTTATGCAGCATTCCGGATGCAAGTTATAAGCATAAAAAGGGTTGATCAACTTGTAGCGTTGGCAACATGGACAGGTCGATTCGAGTAAGGCATCATTATGCTGCAGATTCTGCTACTGTAATTGGTCGTCTTGGTTCCACGTTTTCCTTCCCACTTTTACTTCCCCATTTTTTTTCAACAGATGCGACAGTTAGAGGGCGCTTGACGAACGAATGGAAGACCACAAAACATTTTCTCGTCGCCGTTGGCCTCCACTGTTTTGCAGCGCTCCTCCTCTGCCTCTTTCACTCTCTACGCCTCACGTAAGGTCCCGCTTTTTTGTTTCTGAAAGCCCCTTTATTTTACGTCAAACTGTGACTGTAGTCTTTGCAAAGTATTTATCCATTCTCCTCACACTTATTCGCTTTCTTCTCCTCCATCAACCAGCATTGACGATTCTTCACTGTGGACCCTCTTAGTTCCCACCTCCTCCTGGATTGAACTGGAGCGTCGTGGCGATCTGGGAAGGACATGGGCGGGTCCCTCGCATAGTCCTTTGGTCTCGTTGATGCCTTTTTACCTTCTCAATCTTCTTTATGCTATTCTTGTTCCTCTTATCCTCCACTGTCTAGCTGACAGTCGCACACCTCTCGCCCTCACTTTTCGAGTCCTAAGTCGGCTTACTGGGTTAGTTGGAGGAAATATTCCCACCTTATAATTGTAAGTAGGACAAATTTTTACCATGCTTTTACTCTCAGATTGCCGAGGCTCAACCAATACAGACCGTGTTGTGAGGCCAGGGCGCATCCATTCTCATTCTACATTGCGCTGGCTTGCATTTTCACCAGTTTCTTTTTCCACGATGGAGTTGCTTTTCTAGTTATTGCGTTTGCGTTGCTCCTGAAGGTATGGAACTTTATGTTAATACATCTTTCCCACAGCAGTACCGGCTAACACCTTCCCTCCTTTCAGTGTGGGTTCATGCTGACCAAGGCTACTGCCAACGATGAGATGGCTCTGAAAATAACGCCAATGGATGAGCAGTCACAAGTTCTCATGGCAGTACAACTGCGTTTCGCCCTTCTGTTCGTCTTCTGCAGTTTCCTCTGCATCGAACAGTGGTTCACATTTGCCTTCAAGGCAAAAATTTTCTTTGCTGGGTTAGTTTGCCGTACCCACTGCTACTTTAGCCTTTTCAGTAGTGCACCCCATTTTTGTATGCCTATTCGAGGGCATGAGTCTATGCTATTTGCAAAGTGGCATCAGTGACTTCATTGGCTAAGTTACAAGTTAAGCATAACCCGTGGCTGTAATTATAGTACGCCCATCTATGGGAATCACCTTCAATCAAACTACTTCCTTTATTTCTCATTTTCTTCCCTGTCACTTCAGTAATCTTGGGTATGTGACACTTTGAGTCTTCCCTGAAGTCATAGTACGTCATTCTAATGTGAAAGATTTGTTAGTGGTATAAGACAAAGTTGGGGCGATACAGTCATGACCTGAAGGCCATGACCGAAGCTTTAATCGCAACGACTGAAGAGCCCGACAAATAAAATGTACAAGTAAATTACCACCTACCACTATCTCCCACTTTCAATAATTGGTATCAGATTGTGGGAAAACCATAAGGCATTAGGATTCGCCGTAACTTGCTTCCTATCTTAGCAGCGCGAAGAGGGAGTATTCGTGACCATTGACGAATTCTTTCAGTTGGCTGTCCCTAGCTTCTAGACTAGTGACTTGTCCTAAATGATCAAATATAATCTCAGAATCACTATAACTTTGAAAGCGGTTGCTACCCTGGAGTAACGCACAATTTGGAATGGACCTGTCATTTCCACCCTGTCATCAGTTCAGGGTTGAAGTCATCTTTCAGAGCGGAACTCCTTTATGAAGTATTTCGTTTTTTGAGGCTTCAATCTGGTTGATTAATAAGAAGATAATTTAAAATATGGTGGGTAACTACAACAACAAAAGTTACAAAGTCATCACTGACGATTACACAAAAATGAATTCATGCATCTAATGATGATTGAATTTGTTTTTTTTTGGTCATAATCCCATAGAGTTTGCCATCTCATAATTTTTATTATTTTCTGCCTTCTCCACCACAGCTATGAATTTGATTGGCTACGTTTCTTCCAACCAACCGTCTTTCGGTTCTTCCTCCTTCTCACCACCGCGTTGCTCCTTTGCTCACCCCCAACTCCGCTAATATCGGTCAAAGGCCATCGTTTTCGACGCTTGCCACTACTACTTCTGGCATTGGCACTGCTCACTACACTGGCCGGTTGCCTAGCCTGCCTCGGTGGCTATCTGCATACCGCAGCCAGTCTACAAGCCTGTCTTCTAGTCACCATGGCAACAATGTTTCTTCTGGGTCTCTGGGTTGCAATGGCTACGACACCCTTTGCTGTCGCTGCGGCGGTGTCATTTGGACAGGGCCACGGTCGCCTCGTGATTGCTCTGTTTCCATCACGCGCTGTTTGAGAATAATCAAAATCACCACTTTTTCACTTCCCCTTTCTCGTCCAAGAAAGCAGCAAGCTAACGTAGATTACTTGGATGTGTATAGGTGTATTGGGCCAAGTTACTCTTCAAAGCTATTAAGGAATTTCCTGACATGGTAGGCACTCCGCTATCGGAGCAGAAAGGACTAACACCGAAAAGCCCTTAGCACCAGAATTTTACTGCTCTAGAACGAATGTCATCCCTCGCCCTGTCTCAGGGGTCCTCCTTGGCCCCCCTTGCAGCCACATTTCCACTTCGTCTAGCAAAGTGGTAATAAACCGCGAGGTGGAGAGCAGGCTGATCTGATAAGTCTGCATTGCAGTTGTGGTGATGTCTAGCGTAAACTTAGGCAAAATTTTAAATTATTTTAAATAGATTAGATGTACAAGTGGGAAGATTCGTTTGGAAGAATAGCGCCGGTATCTAGACAACATGCCACATCTGCCACGCCTTAAACGCCGGTTGCTTTTGATGAGGACACGTGCCAAAGAGCAATACGAGGGGAAAGGTGAAGGGAGGCAAATTATGCCCCCAGACCGTGATTCCAAGTACTTGGGAAATGATTTTGATTCATTCACACCTGGTTTTGAGGTGTTTTGTGTAAAACTTGAGACCGAGATGGCTGCTGAAAGTCTCGGTTTTGGCAGCCCCTTTATGAGTCTCTGCTAGTTTTACTCATTGACAACAGATGCCTTTCTTCTGTGGTGGTTTTGTGCCGTGTAGGTGGCAAAAAGCGGGGAACCTGGCAGCTCATCCGGCTTGAGCTTACAAATGTGGGAGTCCTGACTACATTGAGGTTGTGAGATCCCAACGAATAAGCTCACGCACTCTGACATCAAAAACTGCCTGCGGAAACACACTAGCACAGTCACCCCTCCGCCAATAAATGATCACAGTGCCGGTTTCACTAACATCGCTGTGATGAAGCCTCGAAGTGAACTATAGAGGTGTAAGGAATGACTCGTTTCACTCAGGCTACAATGAGTTGCTTCGAGTTTTAGTAACTTATCAATACATAAGTGAGGTGACTATCTTCCACCATCCTTATCCAATCTTCCATGGAAAGGGGTTCTCCATCCCAAACAAATATGCAAACTGTGGTGTACGGACACGCCTAATCTTGGATGCTTGCCTGCAAAATCTTATGTACATTTACGGAGCTATGCATCTTGATGTCTTTTTACTGGAAAATGAGGAAGGAAAGGAGGGAAAAGGGCAGAAGGCATGGCACATTGAGTTTGAGTATCTCCAATGTCAAGGTAGGCCAAGCAGACAAGCAGACACGTTTGCATAAATTTTCGCCATCTGCTGCTTGAAGAAACATAACTAGCAGAATGCAAAAGCTGGGGCGGCATCGCCCTTTAGTCCATCATCCCTCTCATCCGGAGTGAGTTTTGGTTAGAAGATCTTCTCGTGGACAAGTTTCGTAGTGGGTTGAGATCCTTCGCTGTCTGGTAAGATTTGCACTTCTTCGCGCTGACTGACCAGCTCTAAATTTTCATCAGGAGTGACTTTCCCTGCACACCTAAGAGTTGTCAGAGTTTGGCAAGGAACGATCGCATCTGTAGTGCACAAGCAGCACTCACAGCCCTCGGAGGATGAGGTGACACCTGTCTTGGAACTGTGGGCACATTATGGAGTGCATGGACCATTTGGCAATATCAACCATGCTTTCACTCCCTTATCAAGTGGAAAACGCAGAAAGGGAGTTCACTTCTTGCCACGTGTGTGTCAACGATCAACACTGCATGTTTTCAGAGGTGGTATGCCAACAGTCCTTGCGGCTTCCTGTCATCTCCTCATTCTTGCAGAACCTATCTGCTACTCTCCATCACCTCGAATGCGGTCACCACGATATTTGCAGCCGACGTCAATGTCAACGAATTG